ACTTAGTGCAAATTAAGATCAGCTGGTTCATTTATGGCCTATAAAATGTGTCACACAAGAAACACCTCATGGTGAGCTCTCGTAAGACTGTCACAAACCTGTGGTTGCCAAATATACTGTGGCATTGGTCGCACAATAATCTACTGTCGTTCCAGCGAGCACAAGATTTCAGACAGAGTCAGAAAAATGGTCAGAAGTTGTCTAAGAGCCGAGGAGCACTTAGAAAGACCTGCAGGTATGGTTGTTTCAAACAGAACAATAGCTTCTGCATTTCACGGCCACGTTCTGCATGAACCCTCACCGTGCAAGACTCAGTGCTGAAACGTCATCGAACCTTCGGGATTTTGTGTGGAAGAATGGGCCAAAATCACTCGAACAATCTGTGCGACCAGTTTCACCAAACAGGAGGCGTCGTGAAGCTCTCATCACGGCTTCTGCCTGAAGTCTTAAATAGATTCCAGCAAACGTGTTCAATCACTTTTACCCGTCATTGTTATCCATCATTTATGGACATCAATGGTTTGTGTTCTTTGCACTCGTTGTTATTGACATGTGAGGAGGATTTTATGTGAATAGCACCTCAGTACTTATTTTACTGCTGTATTTGTTACCAGTGACAGTCTGGTACCATCAGGCCCGGGGTCTGGTACAACTGGTCAAGCAGTGAAAGACGGATGGCAGGTAAACTTGATCCATCTTCCTTCCTCACTGGGTGAGCCGAGGTCTCAGCCTTTGGCAGCCAACAGGAAAACAAAGACTGAACCCTAGACTCGGCTTTTTAAGAGACTCCAGGAATACGTTCAAACTGGTAATATGTTCCCAGTATAGGTTTTTAGATGGTTGAAGTCCTACAGAAAGGTAGGCGATGACGTTTGCATCTCATTTTTGAAACATTTAAGTTTTTTAAATTAATTTTTTTGAGTAGAAAATCAATAAATGCATTATTTAAAAATTAACCATTTTCATCCAGACGAATACTCTGTTAGTTAGAGGCGACGCTTATAAAACACTGAGCTGCCAATTAAAGTGCAGCCCCGGGCAAACGTTAACGATTTGTTTTATTTGTTATATTTTGTAGAATTTAAACAAATCTTTGATAAGACCAAAATATTTTAGTTTAATAGCTGAATATTACTCTTTTGTTTTTTCCTCAAAACTGATTAATTTGATTTTTTCCCATTTGGAAAAAAATAATGTTAAATTTATTAAATTTACATTTAATTATTACATTTATTTATTTTCATTTGTTGTGATAACACCGTCTACAAACGTTAATGAGTTGTTGCACTCGGCTGATTGAAAAGCTAATTTATAGTATAGTTAATTCATCGTTTATAATAATAATGCGGTTGACCAGGTAAAGCACAAGGAGAAATTCCCAAAGAGTGCAACTTTTTATGTGAATCCTTTTTTTATTAAAATTTGATTATAGTTAAAATTTTGTTCAAAACACACATCTTGGACAAGAGCCGATCATATTTGGGTGTGTCTGTGCAGCATGTTAATGTTTGTGCAAACATCACGAGGGAGTTTTTTGGCTTTGTTGTAGCAAACGATCTTGCACAGTTTGCAATCACTTCTGCATCACGTGAGATAAAATGATACTAATGTGAAGGTTTTGTGCTCTCGTGTTACATTTTAATTCAATCTCAGAGGAAAGTCGTCGGCTTATTTACCGATTTAACCGTCCCTCATATCAAACCACCAGAGGACTTTCACCTCAAGTTTTCTAAAGCAAAGTCCGGTGTCAGTTCTGTTCCACTGCACAGGCTGCTGCTCAGGAGGTGAGAAGAGAGCGTGGAGAGACCCAGAAAATGGCCAAACTGAATACCATTTAGATTCAAACAGAGTCCTGAATGATTTATTTTGAAGGGCGATCATTTATTATCCAAATACTGATTCAGCTGCTGAAAGACAAAGACCTCACATGTACAGTGTGAGGAAGCTACAGTGTGACTTAAGGTTCAAACAGTTGTTGTGCTGCTGTCCACAAACACTCAGTGTCTCTGCAAGTGCACAAATCAGCAAAAGCTTTCACTGAATCCAGTTTTCTGCAAGGAAAAAGAACAAATCAGAAGAGATGCCACCAAATTTTCATTTCTCCGATGGAAAGGCAAAATTCCTTTAATTAAGGCAACACTAATCCATCACATAGGTCCTATTTGTTTTTCACCCAATTGCTGTGTAACAAGAGAGATGCTTCACTGTCTGAAGGTATGTTGACAGTGGCCCTTAGTCCTGTAGATATTCATATGAGCACAATCTGCTTCTTTGCCTCTGGGAAACATCCTTTCTGAAGGTTAATAAACAACCCTGCACGAGTTCATTCATCAGATGGTCTCTCACAGACTGAGTGGCATGCTGGTTTATCATTTTAACAATGGAGGCTAAAAGTGCCTCCAGAACTCGCCTAATAGGTTATTTTGTGATATGATTTTGTTATCAGATATGTGTTTGCTCTTGCTGGCCTGGTCTTGGTCACTGTGTAGTAACGAATCCTCACATTAATGTCCCCGGAGCAGGGAACACCATAATAAGGTCCTCCCTGGGCAACAGAGCTGGCCACGTCCATCTATTTCGATGGCACAAGCTGTGGCCCTGCTATTTTTCACTGTGGCGTATTTTTGTGACTAAAGCAGCGGCCGTGTATGTCTCAGTGGAAAGATCCTCTCTGACGCCTGCCACTCTCCTTCTCGTTCACCAACAGCAACAGAAGTATTTGCATCTCCATAATTCTCTTTAGTGAATTTCCCAGAATAATAAAATACATGTGAGATACAGATGGAGTCAAACTTGTTCAACGGTGAAAGTAAATCCTGAGCTCAAAGCAGAAATTTCAGTTTCCGAACACGTTCACCAACGAAACGACCGCTTCAGCTGCACCTGGTTTAACATCTATGGTCATCTCATCCGGATCAGAGGTGAAACGTCTTCAAGCAACAGACGCTTTCCAAGCTCCTTAGACATCTATGAGACGACTAAAAACTCATTTTAAAAAGTATAACGATGTGGAAATAAAGGGAAGACAAATAATTAGGCCTCATTTATAAACAGGGTGGAAGAACAAATCTGAGCATGAACTGTGCATACAAATATTTTATGTACAAGTTTGTGATTTGTTGCCAGAATCGAATAAAAGCAGCAGGAATAAACAGAACAACAAAAAGGCCCATGTTAGAGTGCAGGTGGGAAAGATCTTGGAAGTATGCAGATGATTTGGTCTGAGTAGAGTGTGTGAGTGGCCCGAGCGATGAGGTTACTCCGACCGTGGCTCAGATGGGTGGATGTTTGTAAATAATCCGAATGGCCCAGAGGAGGAAGCTGTGAGTCTGGAGGTGGACCGATTCACCTGAGGCGCCGTTCGGAGGGCAGCGAGTCAAACAGGGGATGGGTGCGATGCAAGGGGTCAACTGTGATGCCGCTGGTTTTCCTGAGGCAGAAGAGGCTTACAATATCCTCCAGGGCTGGCAGAGGCCAATTACGTTTTGGGTGGTGTTAATTACCTTCTGCACAGCTTTCCTGTTCTCAGCAGTTGTCCCTGCGTAACAAACACCGAAGCAGTAAGAGCTTGAGCGATACGAGGCCAGCAGCAGCTCCTGTTCTAGTTATTCTTCGTCAGGACACGGAGGAGGTCCATGATGAGTTCATTTGTTTCAAGAACATTCAACATCAGGTTATTTTTGGAGGACCAGCGGGACAAAATCTCTACCGCTGCCCTGTCAGAGATGAGCCCAACCACGATGGCGCCAGCGACCTACTTGACAATGACGTTGGCTGAGTGGGTTGGTGTGCAGTCATGTGTAAACAGGGGCTACAGTGGGGGGATGAGGACAGCCCTGCGGGGATCCGGTCCTGCGTGACAGTCGGGGGGGGGGCCTGACTGAGGCCAGCTGGGGGAGCTGAAGGTGGTCCAGTTTCGTGGTCAGGATGTTGAAGATTATGGAGTTGAGTGATGAGCTGCAGTCCACGAAGCTCCTCATGCAGCTCCTCCTGTTCTCCAGATGGTTCAGCACTGAACACGTTCAGAGCCTCGGGTCACAATAAAATCTGCCTTTAAACTGAATACTACTACGTATTTGTATCGTACCACATTTCAACATTAGTCACCTGAAGGCGCTCTATATCAGAATCCTCTTTAGTTTGTGCGCACTAATGAAGGATTGGACTGCAGTTCAGCTGGTCCTTCTTCTGTACGTGGACTCCTCGTCGTTCTGGATCACACCGATGGCGTTGTTGTCGTCTGCGAACAGAAGTTTCACAGATGGCTCTCCTGAGGTGCAACGTTAGTGTCGAGGGAGAAGAGCAGTGGGGATGATGTTCCTCAGCCTCACCTGCTGCTGCCTGTCCGCCAGGAAGCTCGTGATACAGTCACGGGTGGAGGCGGGCACTGTAAGCTGGGTGAGCGATGGAGATGTCTGGGATTACTTCGTTGAAGGCTGAGCTGAAGTTCACGAACAGCATCCTGGTTGAGGTGATGCAGGATGTAATGCAATCCCATACTGAGTGCATCCTCTGCCAACCTGTTTGCCCAGTAGGCAAACTGCAGGGCCCAGCAGGTGCTCTGTGATGTCTGACCACAGACGTAAGGGTGACAGGCCTGTAGTGCTTTAATCCTGTGAAGGTGGAGCGTTTGAAGCAGGAAGGAACTTCCCACAGCTCCAGAGATCTGTTAAAGATCCAACTGAGGGGCCAGTTGGTCGACACAGGCTTACAGGCATGAGATAACCGGTCCTGGACCCTTTCAGGTCTTTTTCTCTGGAAGAGCAGACACATCTTCCTCACAGGAAGCGGGTCAGAAGGGCAGGGGAAGGAGGACTCCAATTAGTCTCATCAGTACTGACTTCTGTGGATGGTGATGAGCTGTAGGCCTCTCCAAACTGATGCAGGTCGTTGGATCACTGTAGCTGTTAGTTACCCTGATCTCCTGAAGACAAAGAGCCTACAATCATAGAGCCAATGAACAGAACCCAGTTTGAGAGAAACATGCTCTCTCCTTCTAGTCCCTGTCAGTGTTTCAGCTGCAGCATTTTGGATCAACAGAAGACTTTTCAAGGAGTTATAGGACATCCTGATATACCCCTATCCAGCAAAGCGAGTCGGTATAACACTTGAGCCTAGAAGTAATAAATGCATGAACTAGTTTTTCAGCGTCACTCTGAGACAGGATATTTCTAATTTTAGAGATGTTGCACA